GCGCAATTCATTTCTATCCGCAGTGAGTTGTCAACTTCAGCATTCTTGCATCCATCCCGCCGACCCGCCCGCAACTTGGTTTGCAAAACCCATGCGGCGAGTGCGATGAGTGCTTGGCGTTGGCTGGTGCATCTGCGGCCGCGCTGGCAGGCGCGTGCTCGCGCGCGAAGAGGCCAGCTAGTTCGGCGCGGCCGACGCGGCCGCGGCGGCGCTGGCTGGCGGGCACTTCCCAACGGGCATATCAGTGCGAGTCGTCGACCTGGACGGGCCCAGCACGACGGCAACGTCGACGACGGTAGACGCGACGCTGGTAGCGGCAATGCTGGGGTCGATGATGACGACGACGACGGCAAGGCCAGCGACGGCGCCGATGCGGATCGCGCCGCCGACGACGACGGCGCCCTCGCCTCGGCGACGAGGGTTCTGGATGGAGTTCGGAATGCGCGCGCGGCCGACGCGCGAGCGCGACGCGCGCGGCATCCTTTGACGCAGATATTGCCCCCCTTTGGCCGCTCGCAGGGGCGTTCGCGTGATTTCGGCGCGCGGCGCGACAGGCTCGCATGGCCGAATTCCATGAACACTTGGAACACTTATTCTGTCCTCCGGAATTCGCAGGGGCGCGAAAGCAGGTTTGTTCAAATTGACGTTGCCAAACCGCGTGTTGTTTGGTTTTTTTCCTTTCCAGAACACCCGATGTTCAAATCCATGCGAAGCCTGAGGTTGCTGAAGGATTTCCGCATGCGCGCGTGACGACGCCCGAGCATTTCGCTATTTTTTGTTTTTTTTCAGTTGGCAAGGGGCTCGTGCGACAGCGCTCGCGCGAGGGCGTTCCAGCGATGTCGACGTGCGCGCGCTCGAGGGGCATGTTTGGTAAGATTTGATGCACATTTTGAGAACCCGCTGGTTTCCTCAAGAAACTGTTAGAGCGCGACCGCGGGCTTTCTTTTGTGCTGGAAGCTCTTCTTGCGAAGCCTTGTTGTATATACATACATATGTATATATATATATACACACATGAAAAGGGTTCTGTTTTGGGTCCCCGACGGGACCTGAGGTTTTGGGAGGATTCTGGCGCGCGCGACGACGCGCGCGCGCACTTCGGCTATGTTTTTTCCCGAGTCATAACTTCGGAAACTGGTGATTGTAGGAATGCGCGCGCATGGCAGTCTTTGCACAGGATGGGGGGGCGGGGGGCGAGGAGGGCTCGGCCGGGGTGATGCGAATATTATAATTTGGATGGGCGGTGGGGCGCGAACACACGTCAATGGCAATGCGAAAAAGGGGGCGGGTCGATTCGGGGGGGGGCCTTATTATTCGTTTAGAAAAGAAGACCCTTGCGGTGCAGTTCACATGTTGAACTCGCAGTTGCCCACCCCTACTGCTCGCGGGGTCATCCCGCCCACCCGCCCGCAATTTGTCTTGCAAAACAAGTGCGTCGGCGATTGCCATGCATGCTTGGCATTGGTTGGTGCATCTCTGTGGCCGTGCCGGCCCGCGCGTGCACTCGCGCGCGGCGGCCAGCTAGTTTGGCGCGACCGAAGCGGCCGCGGTGGCGCTGACCGCAGGGCGCATCCCATCCGGCACTTCAGTGCGAGTTGTCGATTTGGACGGTTGCGGTATCATGGCAACAGTAGGCCCGATGCTGATAGTAGCGATGCTGGTGGCGATGTTGACGACGACGGTGCGGCCAGTGACGGCGCCGATGCTGATCGCGCCGCCGACGATGACGGCGTCCTCGCGTCGGCGATGATGGTCTCGGGTGGAGTTCGACATGCGCGCGCGGCCGACGCGCGAGAGTGGCCCGCATGGGATAATTTGACACGGATCGTGCCCCCCCAGCTCGCGAGCGAGGTCAATCGATTTTGGCATGCGGCGCGAAAGGCCCATTTGGCAGAATTAGTGTAAGAATTCGCCAGGACGCGCGCGCGGACTTTCTTGAAATTTGTCGTTGCGAAGCCGTTTTCTTTAATATGTAAGAAAAAAAGTTGGCGAAGGACCCGACCATGCGCAGCTGTGAACACCGCAATTATGAATATGATCTTCGCTCCGCCCCCAATAGGGCCGCGAACCGTGCGAAGGGGCGCGTCGACACGCGCGGCGGGGCGCACAACGCGAGCGAAGGCGATAGGTCTGTGTGCGAGAACTGAGAGCGAGTGAGTCGGATTGTGGATGGTCTGCGCGCGCGTGAGTCTACGCGCGTAAATGTCGACGCCCATGTCGGCGCGCCTCTCGCGAGGATCGTGCCCGCTTCCTTCCGGCTCTTCTTCTCCCTCTTTGCCCGCGCACGCCCGCGTCCAAGTCTGCGGGCGCGGCGCCGCAATGAGTCCCCGCGACGCGCGCCGGTCGCCCCGATGGGATCCCGGCGACGCGCGCGGGTCGTCCGCTGCGCGACGCAGAGAGCGAGCAGGCTGGCTCCCGCCTGGGATGCGCGGCCCGAAAGCATCTTCAATACGTCGAGCACGACGAAAAACTTTCGGAAATCGAAAAGTCGCCGCCGCGCGAACTCCGCCACTGGGCCGCCATGCGAGGTCCTCCGCGGAAGCCTCAGGTGCAGTTCCTTGTGGGGGCACGAAACGTTGTACTGGGTGGCGGATGACGCATGTGGGCGGTCCCATTGGGGCCTCCGGAGGAGCTCCCTGTGGGGCCACGAAACGTTGTGCTGGGTGGTGGATGACGCATGCGGGCGGTCCCACTGGGGCTTCGGTGGAGGGCCCCTATGGGGCCACGAAGCGTTGCACTGGTTAGTGGATGACGCACGCGGGCGGTCCCACTGGAGCCTTCGGTGGAGCTCTCTATGGGGACGCGAAACGCAGTAATGGGTGGTGGGTGACGCATGCGGGCGGTCCCACTGGAGCCTTCGGTGGAGCTTCTTATGGGGTCACGAAGCGTTGTACTGGGTGGTGGATGACGCACGCGGGCGGTCCCACTGGGGCTTCGGTGGAGCTCCCTATGGGGCCACGAAGCGCTGTACTGGGTGGTGGATGACGCACGCGGGCGGTCCCACTGGGGCTGTCGGTGGGATTCCGTATGGGGCCACGAAGCGCTGTACTGGGTGGTGGATGACGCATGCGGGCGGTCCCACTGGGGCCTTCGATGAAGCTCCCTATGGGGCCACGAAGCGTTGTACTGGGTGGTGGATGACGCACGCGGGCGGTCCCATTGGGGCCTTCGGTGGAGCCTCTTAGGGGCCACGGAGCGCTGTACTGGGTGGTGGATGACGCATGCGGGCGGTCCCACTGAAACCTTCGGTGGAGCTCCTGATGGGTCCACGAAGCGCTGTACTGGGTGGTGGATGACGCATGCGGGCGGTCCCACTGGGGCCTTTGGTTGAGCTCCCCATGGGGCCACGAAGCGCTGTACTGGTTGGTGGATGACGCACGCGGGCGGTCCCACTGGGGCCTTCGGTGGAGGTCCCCATGGAGCCACAAAACGTTGTGCTGGTTGGTGGATGACGCACGCGGGCGGTCCCACTGGGGCCTTCGGTGGAGCTCCCTATGGGGCCACGAAGCGTTGTACTGGTTGGTGGATGACGCACGCGGGCGGTCCCACTGGGGCCTTCGGTGGAGCCCCCGATGGGGACGCGAAACGCAGTAATGGGTGGTGGGTGACGCATGCTGGCGGTCCCATTGGAGGCTTCGGTGGAGCTCCTTATGGGGCCACGAAGCGCTGTACTCGGTGGTGGATGACGCATGCGGGCGGTCCCACTGGAGCCTTCGGTGGAGCTCTTCATGGGGCCGCGAAATGAAGGAGGAACGAAAGGAGGAGGAGGATGATGATGATGTGGAGGAGGAGGAGGAGGAGGAGGAGGGAGGAGGATGGAAAAAGGAAGGAAATAAGTAGGAAGGGAGGATAACGAGGACCCAACACCACCGGATGGTTGGGAACACATGCTTCCCGACGCTCGGTTTTGACATCCCTGCGATTCCTAAGATTTTTGATGGATTTCGGCATGCTCGCGCCACGACGCGCGCGCGTGCATTTCGTCCCGCTTTTGTTGCAAAGGATTCTCGCGACAGCACGCGCGCAAGGACCTTCGAACGATTTCGACACGCGCGCGCGAAGCCCGTTTAGTAGCATCTTGCGAAAATGTTGAACACCGATGGTTTTCGTAAGCGTTCGCAAGAGCGCGAGAGCAGGTTTTTTGTTGCAACTCGTGTTGCGGAACCATTTCTTTTTATATGGGTTGTGAGCTTTTGTTTTGGAATCCCACGACTCCCAAGGTTTTTGAAGGATTTCGGCATGCGCGCGCGACGACGCGCGCGTGTGCACTTCGTCATTTTTTGCAAGGGGCTTTCTGATGGCTTTTGATGAACGAGTGGGCGCGCATATCGATTTTTGTAGAGGATGATGGGGGGTGTCGATACCGGTTGTGGGTTGGGTTGGGATGGTATGGGGTCATATTTAGGATGGGCGATGGGGCCGAACCATCAGTAAATTGCAGCACGCAGTCTCTATTAAGACAGGACTAGCTATGCGAATGAGTCGGCGACGGCGGGGCGGCGACGGCGAGCACGGAGCAACCAGACCGACAGGCCCAGACGACGGGCAGCGACGATGTGGCCACGGGGTTGCGACGGCGACAACATAGCCGCAAGACTGGCAGTTCGGCCTAGACGACGGGCGGTGACGAGGTGGCCACGGGGCGGCGACGGCGACAACATAGCCGCACGACTGGCAATCAGGCCCAGACGAGGGGCGGAAACGTGGCGGCGACGGGGCGGCGACGGCGAGCACGGAACCGCCAGACCAGCATTCAGGGCCAATTCTGTAGAAGAGAAGGAAGAACACCTAGGTGCAAACGCTGTTTGAGGAGTGAACATCAACTTTCCGAAGTCAGTGCGAATTTCTTAGCTCTGTGCTGGACCCCCTTCCCTGGCGCGCGGAGCACGTCGCCAGGGACGCGGCCAGGGGTGTACAGCGCCGATCCAAGAAATCTACGCCGGCCTCGGACAGCGTATGCTGATGCCGCGCTTTTCTTCCTCTGCATCCTCGCCAACGAGACGGCAGGCTTGGAGCAGATCCTGGCGCCGCCCGTGGAGAAGTCCGTCGCGGAGCTGCCCCTGGCCGTCCTCGGCCTGGTCACGGCCTGGCAGCGCGGCATGGCCGCGTGGTTCCGTGTGGACGAAGCGCTCTTCGCGGCACTGCACCCGGACACGGGGGACGACGCCGAGGTTTGGGGCGCGTGAAATGGGGGGCGATAAATGGGGGCGGGCGGCGAGGGTTGCAGAAAACGGGCACTTGAGGGCCCCTGAAGGTTCCCCTGAGGGCCGCAGAGGGGGCCTCTAGGGCCTGCCAAGGGCACCTGTTCTTTTTCCAATGATCGCCCCCGATTGCATTCGCGCCCAACGAGGTCTATCCGCCGTCCTCGCTGGTGGAGGGCGCCGGCGGCGGGCCCGAAGGTCCGCGGAGGGCGAGTCGAGACAGCGGGAGTTGGCCTTCGGGGGCCCCTTCGTCGCCACGGCTGGACGCAGCTCGGCAAGCTGGTGCCGTTGGACCCCTGGATGCAGTCAAGACGCTGAAATGAAATAAGGAAAGGTTTGGGTTCGGCAGGGGCTCGATGTTCCGTAGGTCCTTCCATGGCCGTTCCTGCAACCGTGCTCGTGAACGAAGGCGGTTCTGGGGCCTGAAAGGGGCTTCGCTCCTTCAAGCAAGCCAACGTTTGCCCAACGTAGCTTGCCATCGCTTGGACGTGTGCATGGTTTCTCGGCGACGGCCATCGTGGAGCAGATATAGGATCTTTTTTAAAAGATAAGCCCACTGGATCGAAACGTACACCGGGAATGGACGCCTGAGCAATGGCGAGGCAGGAGGTTGGACCCCGGGAGGGGTCCCCAGGGGCTCTTTCTGAGCTGTCGTCGTCTCGGCTCGCCCTGGCTCCGAGGAGGCGACGGCGGCGCCGAGGGCGGCGCGGGCCCGGCCTTCTCCAGGCTGGAGGAGCCCGACGCCGCCCCGGAGGTCCGCATCGGGGCCAGCAGCGCCTGGCTGCGCGCGGTGCGCGAGCGGGCCGAGGCGCTGACAGACCGCGCGCCAGGGACCGAGTCGCCGCTGGGCTCCATGGCCGTGGCCATGCAGGACCTGTCGGGTGAGCTCAGCAGGATCCAGGGATCGGCCAGAACGCCGCTTGGGCAGCCTCTTGGATCGGTGTCGTCTTCTCTTCGCGTTCGCTCTGTGTTCATTCGAGGGCCCACCATTGGGCAGTCACGACTTCGGACTCACTCCGAACACGCTGTCTTGGGCAATCGGTCGGATTTTGTTCGTTGGAGGACGCCGGAAACGGAAACCGCTCGAAAACACAAAACTCTGTTTTGGTAGACCCCGTGGGGCAGGATCTATTCGAGCTTCGCCGTGGACAATCAGCAGGCGCTCTCCGCGCTCGTGTTCGTGGACCGCGCGAGCCGGGTCGTCGCCGAGGCTGGCGAGGCCGTCGTCAAGGCCGACACCCTCATCAGGTTCGCAATGACGGAAAGGGGTCATGAGGGGAACGGGTCCCGGGTTTTCGCCGCTGTCGGGCTCCCGGGGTCCTCCGCGGGCCACGGGACCGTCAAAACATGACGCGGCATGAAGCATCCATTGGTCCTGGGGGAGGGCCCTCCACCTCCTCATCCTGCTCCTCCTGCTCCTCCTCCTCCTGCTCCTCCTCCTCCTCCTCCTCCTCCTCCTCCTCCTCCTCCTCCTCCTCCTCCTCCTCCTCCTCCTCCTCCTCCTCCCCCCCCTCTTCCTCTTCCTCGCACCCCCGTTTCCCTCAGGACCCGTTTGTTTCATGCTGATCAGGTGCGGCATCCTGTTCGCCTGGAGCGCTGTTGAGCGCGTGGCCGCCGAGATCAGTGCTGGTGTGGCGGCCGGCAGCCTGCCGGAGAAGTTGGAGCGCCTCACCAACCGCCTCGCAGGTTTCTTCGACGAGCTCGGCGACGACCAGTGCTTGCACCACAGCGTCCGCCAAAACCTCCCGGGAGGTGTGAATCGCTGGCTTGATGTGATTTTGGAGACACCGTCGACTATACAGGTAATCCTCGGCACGATCAATCAGCTGGTCGCTTGGACGATGGGTCAGGTGGATGAGGACGGCGATGGGAAGGAGAGCCGGATGTTGCTCCCGATGATGATGCGTATCGCCCCGGGCACGTTGGCACACTATCTGAGGAGCGTGGAGTCAGCTTTGCGCGGAGGCGAGATGGCCGACGATGGAAGATCTGCTGGGAACACGGTGGTCCAGGCGCTGGGGTGGGTGTCGAGCATGTTGAAGCTTGCAGAGCAGGTCGTCACTGTCTCGCAAGAGGATGACCCTCACAAGTACATGGTTGATTTGGCCCACTCAAGCGTTGGCATGCTGATGCGAACCGTCGAGGGCCCTGCGATCCAGTCCCTCGGCCGCGTGGTGCAGAGCTACCTGGATAAGCTTCATGATGATCCCGCTGCCGACCCTGCTGCTCTCCTCTGCGAGCATCGGGATGCCCTCTTCTTTCATATCGAGCAGCTCCTGGACAACATGGTCCAGGTGGAGCAAAGCACGGCGGAGGACGGAGCCTGCTGCTGCGTCTCGGGCCCGTGCAAGTGGTGGCAGAAGGAGGCGCGGCACGTGGAGGGGACCGTCGACGGGAAGCCTTTCGAGTGGTGTTGCCAGACAACGGGTCCCATGCACCGCCCGAGCGAGTGCCCAGCCACTGGTTGCTTCAGAGGAGCAAAAGAACAGATACTGAGATCGCTGCTCGTCCTGGAGAGCCCTCGTCGCCAGGGCTGGATGTTCCTCGGAAGTCTGGTCAGAACGTACCCCAGGAGAGGTCCAGAGAGTAGTGGCGTCGGTAGTTCTATTCCCCCAGGTTATCTACCAGCGTCCGAGCCAGGGGCCAGCGACATGGCCGTGGACGGCGAGGAGGAAGAGCTCTGGGCGGTGGAGTGCAAGTGCAGCGCAGAGGCAGAGGACAGCGCCGACGCGGATGGCGTCTACGCGCAGACTGGCGTCACACGCCAGCGCCTGGAAGGGCTGAAGCGTGAGGGCGGACCCCTCGGCGAGGCGGCCTGGGACTCGGGCGGCCGCTGGCGAGCCTGCGAACATCTGCTGGGGGCCGGGGCGGAGTCGTGGGCCTGTGGCGGCCAAACCACGTGCCCTGCGCCGCAGCACCGCCGCTACTGCGCCGTGGGCCGGCAGCTGCCGCATGTCACCGCCGAGAGCTCCGCCACAGCCCTCCCCAGCATGGGATGTCCTCAAGCGAGCTCCGCCTCCGCGGTTAACGACGAGCTTCGAGTGGCCATAGGCAAATTGCAGAAGAAGTTCCTCTCCATCGGCCGCAGACTGGCCGAGAAGCTGCCCACGAGCGAGTGCACCACGAGCAACATCATGTCCATGGCGACGAAGAAGGTGCAGTCGATGCGTCGGACGTGGGAGAAGTTTGCGGCCTTGGACCTGGCCTCCCAGGCGAGCCACGCCAAAACACGGGCCCGAATGCGAAGACATTGGCGCGTAAGCTCCTCGCGTAGGTTCGCGCGTGAGCGCCCTCGTCTCCACTGGCGTGCCGCGCCGGCGGCCCGCGCAAGCCGCCGCGCAAGGTCGCTATGTCATGTCGCGCAAGACCCGTTTATGATCGTCGCTCAGGTGAACGTCACTCTGGAGCACGCCCCGGAGCCGGTCCGCACCTTCGGCGGCTTCCTGGCGCGGGCGCTGCAGGCCCTGATGGAGGCGCACAGGCCCCTGGCCGACACCCTCGCCAGCGAGTGCGAGGATGCCACCAGGGCGTCCCGCTGCCTGCCCTCGGTGGCGGCTGCAGCGGGCGCCCTGCGCGCCATCTCTGGCAGCCTGCGAGGTGCCGCCCGAGGCCTCCGCGAGGCCAAAGCTGCCCTGCCTGCCGCGCTGCCGCGCGCGATGCGACCTCGCTACGGTTTCGAGGGCTCGCTCGCGTTCGACCACGGTGCAAAGACGGTGGAGGCGACGGCCAATATTCTCGTCAGCGCCTCAGGCTACGCATACTGCTTGGGCAATGTCACGGAGGTCCTGTCGTCAGTTCGCAGCGAGGGAGAGGCGCGTTCGACCCGGGTACGCATCATGGACTTCTCGTCGCGCCTCGCCGGAGTTCTGGCAGCGCCAAGGGAGGCCACCACTTGGGGGGTCACCAGCTCCTCTTGGAAATCGAGGTTCCAGGATCGAGCATCGCGGAGGCTTTGAACGTGTTTGGAGGTCTCTGGAGTGCTCTTGGGGGCCCGCTTCGTGGAGAAAGTGGCGTTTCCTCGAGGAAGTGGCGACACCCCCAGTGGGGACCCCCCTTGGTATTGCCCCAGGAGCTGTGAACAATTGTTTTAAAGGCGACACCGGGTTCGTGAAGGGCGACGTGCGGCATTTCTTGGAGGGCCTCAAAGCCTTCTTCAGCGCGTCCACGAGCATCGTGCAGATAGTGGACCTGAACCAGCCGCCCAACCCTGAAAAGTTGACGTGGGGATCTGAGGTACAAGAGGGCGAGACGATCACCGTGGCCAGCGACAAGCTGCGCATCGTCCGCAGAGGCGTGCCTGGCAAGACGGTCTCCTTGGAGAAGCAGTGTCAGCTGCCCGTCAAGGTGACCGCGCGGGTCGCATGCGTCTCTGCCAGGGCTCTGAACCAGAGTGAGTGCCAATCCGAGGGCTGCTGCTACTCGCCCCTTGAAGAAGGATCCTGGGCGCCCTGGTGCTACCAGCCTCCGGTCGAGCACGACTTCGCTTACACGCTTGTGTCGCGGTCCTCTGGGGAGACGACGTGTTCCGCCGGATGCTTCGGAGGGCACGGCGCTGGCGTGGCGGGCGCCACTTGTGCGGTCCTCGAGGAGGGAGGCGGCGGCGACGAGGGTGAGCTCGGCCAGTACGTGCTGCAGACGCTGTGGTCGCTGCCGAAGAGCTTGCTCCGAGCCCAGAAGAGCCTCGCGTTCGCGATCTCCAGCTTTACGTCCGGCTTCTCTCGTACGCAGGGCGCGTTGGCTTCTGGGTTCCTCATGCCTGCCCGCTGGCTGCTGACCCTGCTCTCCGAGATGCAGAAGCAACTGCCGAGCTCACTTGCGCAGGAGCTGGCGCAGCAGCGGGGTGCTTCCCTCAACGTCCCCGTTGTCCCACCAGTCGGCTCCGCGGACTACGAGATGACGGCGAGGATGGTCGCAGACACCGTGCAGGCGCTGGGGTCGAAAGACGCGCTGACGGAGTTAGTTAACCCCTTGATCGAGGCGTTCTTGCGCGGCAAAGGGAAGAAGTCGTCCTTCGGCATCCTCCACATATCTCAGCTCGTTCGGGTTTTCACAGGCCCCTTTGTGGATCTGCCCGTGCTCAAGAGCCCCGCTCCATCGAAGGGTGTCCTGGAGCTGATCGTGGACATCTTGCAGCCTGGCGTGGATCAAGGCGACGTGCCCGAATCCTCGAAGAACGAACAACTGCATCAACACAAGCTTTCGGAGCTCCGCGCGGTCTTCTTGGATCGGCGCTGGACACCCCTGGCGGCGATCCACGAAATCCGCGCGGAGCTTCGAACGATTCTGATTATGCCGTTTGTTATGCCTCTATAGGCGAGGTGCCCGGATCTTGGGACCCGGGCACGTGGTACATTTGTGAGAGCATCGTCGAGGATGTCCGACAGTCCTTGCATGAGCTGCACGAGTCTTCAAGGCGAGGCCGCCAGAACGACATGGCCTTCTGGTTCTCCACGCTTGAGCTGCAGCTGGCTCGCGTCATCGCGGACGATCCACTTATGGCGGCGACGGCGACTCCAAGCTACATGGCGGAGGCGTTGCCAGCCCTGCGCGGCGCCGACCCCGACGAGATCGTGGCCTGGATAGACAAGCTGCACTGGTGGCTGAGAGGAGCCGAGGGCCAACGTGGAGGGAGGATCGGCTCAGGGGGAAGCGCATCGACCCCCCGTCGCCCACGGACCGCCGATGTGGGGCCCGGTGGCCGACCCCGCCCAGGAGCTTCCGGCCTCGCCCTTCCGGCGGGTCCCCCGCCGATCTCTCGGCGCTGCATCGCCCTCTTCCAGCTCGAGGCGTCCCCCTTAGGAGGAGTGGCCCGCTCGAGTCGCCCTTCCAGCTCGACGCGCCGAGGAGGGGAGGGGGAGGGGGGAGCCCTTCCTGAGAGGCACCCCTGCTTCTGAGAAGCCTTCCCTCCTTCCCACGCCCCCTTGTGCGCGCCACCAACAGGAGTTTGTTGCCACGTCGACGGCGGAACTCGGGCTTGCCTACGCTTTTTGACGAGCGCGTCCTGGAGTTTGACGGTCCCGTTTTCGTCGGACGTTTGCAGAGGGAGTTCGCGTCAAGTTTCAGACTGGGTATCGTTATTTTCATGCTCGCCCCGTCAGGCCAACCTCCCCCGAACCCGAGTCTTAAGTCAAGGTAAGCAAACCATTTCGACCCCCACAAGTGGCGTTTGCTAAATGGCACTGTGCATTTACTAAACGGCTTTGCCCTGCCTTTGGGTGCGTTGGCTAAACGGCTTCAGTCACCAGCCTCGGACTTATCCCTACCCCTGAGATTCACGCCAAAAGGCGATGACAATCTTAGGGATGCCGGGATGCACCCTCAGAAATTGAGGGAATCCCTGAGACCGCCATCGTGATGAGGCGATGCCGAACATAGGGATAGGGATATGTTCCAGGCTGGTAATTCAGTTGTCGGGCTGCTTATGATGAGGGTCGATGTTCTGCTCTGTATCACGTCTCCCCGACAGGAGTGGCCCGCATCTCCAAGAAGTTTGTTGCCACGTCGACGGCGGGCGGCTCTGGTGCCCGGTGGTCCCTGGAGGACATGCGCGGGGCGGAGCGGCTGCGGGCCGCGCTGGCGGCCCTGCACGGCGCCATCGCGGGCGCCCCGCCCCTCCCGCTGCCGCCGGCGGGCGAGGGCGGCGGGTCGCAGTGGCGCGCCGTGCGCGTGGCGGCGGCCTGGCTGCACGAGAGCACCGCTCAGCTGGCGGAGGTGGCCGACATAGGCTCGGCGGCGAGCCCAAGGTCGGGTATAGCCAGGTCCCCAGTTAAGGGCAGCCGGTGAGTAGTTGGGCCCCGCCGACCAAAACATGGTTTTTCTTCGTGTGGTGTGTCGTTCGGGTCAGTGGAATGGGGCGGGGGGGGCGGCGTCCCCCCGGTGCACATCGTTAACCAGGTCCCACGAACCCAGTCCCGCCAACGCCCGAAAACGGGGGGAGTGCGGAGAGGGCGGCGGCCTCCTCGGAAGGCTTGGAAGGCTCGGAAGGCCTCCGGCCTTGCCAGGAGTTTTTTGGGAAGCTTTCTCCGAAGACGCAGGCGGCCGGCTGCGAAGCCCAGCCGCTTTCCGAGAAGGCCTGCCCCCTCTCGGGTGCGCCGCCGGCCCGCAGGCAGCAGCATGGTGGCCTGTGGCCTGCTCTCCCTCGACCTGCCAGAGTGCATGGACCACGACCACCCCGACCACGGCGACGGGGAGGACGCCGCCGACGATGAGCTCGACAATTTCCACATCCTTCGCGACGTGTCCATCAACACGGCCCGCCGCTTGGCCGCCCTGGCCAGCCCTCTGGCCAACGCCGCCCAGCAGGTACGAAGAGCACAGAAGGTGTAAACATGAATATCGGGAGCTCCACGCGGATCTCTTGGAGTCGGCGCTGGAACCCCCTCGCCTTGGCTCGCGGAACGCGCGAAGGACGGCACCAGAGGCGCCGCCAGGAGGGTCCAGCGACAATCCGAGAGATGCGCGCGGGCCTCCGAAGGTTTTATGTTTGTGCTGGTTGTCCTTGCTGTGCAGGTGGGCCAGCTGCCCAAGCTCTTGCCCGAGCAGTCCGGGACCAACGCCATCAGGGCCCTCCTGCACACGCTGGAGGGCATGAAGGCGCAGGTCGTGCTGGTGCTGCAGGCCGTGGGCGCCTCTTACGACTCGTCGAGCGCTCTCATGGTGCAGGTCGTCAGCATCGTTGAACCTATCCCCACGCCCACTGACTGAGCCGTGCATGCTATCTCAGCCCCACCTGTCCAACCCACACTGGGTGTGGTAAGGCTTCGGAGTGCGCACTGAGCCCCTTCAGGCAGCCTCGGCTGGCCTCAACAGGCCCCCCGAGTGGTCCTGGCTGGTCTCAGCACCCGAGCCGCGCTCCGGGGTCGAGGTGCTGAGACCGCCCCAGGCTACTCGGGGGACCTGTGGAGGCCAGCTGGGACTACGCTTCCCGAAGTCTAACCAACTAGGTGGGGATAGGCCATGCGAAATCCGAAAGACCAGGCATGCATCCCCACCCAGGTGGGTAAGGCGGCCAGTGGGGCCAAGGCCATGCCAGAGGGGACAGGGATCGGTGAAACGATGCGCAGGTCGGCAGCGCGGTGGTCCACCTGTCCGGCGTGGGGCACAAGCTCCAGCTCGTTGCCACGACCTTGAGCATGTGGCAGGCGTCGGAGAAGAAGAGCTATACAGGCATGAAGTGTTCGCAGGTCCGCGCGGATGTCTTGGATCGGCGCCGGGACCCCCATGGCAGCGCCTTCGGCACCGCCTCTGGCGCGCTCCGCGCACCAGGGATGGGGGATCCAGCGCCGATCCCAGAAGTCGACGCGGACCTCCGAACGTTTACGATTCTGCAGTTTGTTTCCCCCCCCCCGAGGCGAGCACCGCCGCCCAGCTCGAGTGGCGAAGCGGGTGCCAGCCCGAGATGTCGCCGCCAGTGCAGGGCACCGACATCAGCCTCGAGGGGGACCTCCGCGAGGGGAAGAGGCCGGTCTGGAGCCGTTGCGGGGAGAGCCGCGGGGACCCCCAGGACGTGCATTACGCTCCGCTCATTGGCATCACGGACAGGCAGCTGATCAAGATCAGTTTGGGCCCTTTCTTGATCTACGGAGTCCCCGTCAACATGGCTCTCGGGTTGACGGCGAGCTTGGAGCTGGCTTATGAGCAGGCCAGGTGTGGCGCCAGCGAGAATGCCACGTTGCCTGGGCACGACAACTTCTCTTCCTTGGCTGTCGGCATTACTGGCAGCCTCAAGGCCGTGGTCTCCTCCAGCATAGGCCAGGCGGACGCATACAACCTAACCACACACACTTTTGGCCTCGCCCGCCTCGCCATCCTGGTGGCTGTGTGTGTATCTATCTGTGTGTGTATCTATCTGTGTGTGTATCTATCTGTGTGTGTGTGTGCGTGCACGTATGGATTGAGTGAGGGTGTGTCAGAGTAAGGTTTGACGTACACTCCTTACCATGTTCGTGGTGTCTTCAATTCTTCCTTCTCACCCTCGTCGCCGCCGTGATCCCAATCTGCGCCATGACGTGTTTGATTGTTGGCGCATGTCTGCGCAAGGTCCCGCGTACATTCACGTCGGTGCCTCCGTCTCGCTCTCCCTGGTTGAGCTGGCCGTGCCCCTGCGGCTGGACATCAGCCCTGCCGCTGGCGCCGGCTGCGCCAGCGTGGAACCGCTCTTCTCCACGCCGAGCCTCTCCCTCCGAGCCTACATCCGCGTCCTGTTCCGCTACCAGTGGCCGTCCCGGGGGGGCGGCCAGCTCCTCTACATCCAGCGGCCCCGCGGTCTGGACCCTCTGGGGCCGCGGCCCCATGGATGCAGGGCGGCGTCGCGCGGGCGCCTCGCGCGGAGTGCGCATCCATCGGACCGCGTACTCCACGGGATCGCGCCGCGGTGTCCAGACCGCGAAGGCGTGGACATGGACACAGACATCAGACGATACGTTGAATCCGATGCGCGGCCCGGATGGTCCAGACCATTTCCCTGGGGTTAGTTTTTCGGCCTTTGTCCGTGTTTGATGGTCTTGGTGCTGGGGCCCGATGCTCGCTCCCGAGGGCCGGAATCGAGGAACAAAAACACTCGTTGAAGGAATCATATTGTACGGTAAGGGAAATGATTACCGAACGCTCCCCCTCCCCCCTTAAGTCAAAATTGGCACGCGCGGGGGAGACTGCGGTCGAAGTGCAACTCATCAGACCTACCGCCAACCTTGAACTCGGGGGAGGGGGAGGCGTTGGCAGATGAATGTAGCATGAGAGTTTGCTATTTTTTCCGAGGCCTGTGTGAGCTTTGGGTATATGTTCGCCGCACATGAGGCCGGTCATGAGCCTGCCGAACTCTGTGCTGCGGATGCCCGGGCACTGCTCCGCCTCGGACCCGAGCCGCTTCGACTGCTGCCCGCCCGTCCTGCCGCAGCCACCGCTGCAGCCCGCGAGGGTCGAGCAGCGCCGCGTGGCGGATCCCAGAGGGCACCAACTTGATTATGACGATGATCAGGAGGAGGAGGAGGAGGACGAGGATGAGGATGAGGATGAGGATGAGGATGATGTTTGTGCCCCACGGGAATAATCTGGCCCTTGCATCCGCTTCCGCCGCTCTGCAGGCTTTTTGGTTCAGGCGTGTATGGAGGAGGCCTTCGGCCCTCTGCTGGCCACCCTCTCAGCCTTTCGAGAGGTGGCCCTCTTTCGCGCCCTGGCCTTTCCCTGTCCCGTGGACTGCCATTGCGAGGTGCCTGCGCCTGAGTCGGCAGTGACGGGCGAGTGCCGTCTGCTGGCAGATCCTCGTGGGCCGCCCGACCCAGTGTGTGTGCCCGTGCGACTGCCACTGCGAGTCGCAGAGCACCTTGGGCGGCTGGTCCACCTTCCTCGTGCTGCTGCTCGTCGCCCCCGCGCTGGTGGGGGCCTTCCTTGCGGGCGTCGGCGTCGGGCCCGGTCTGATCCGCACATCGGCCCCATCGCGTGTGATGCCCGAACTGGTCACCACAGACATTGAAGATGGCGACGCCCGAGTGGGTTCAGCAGTGGAAGGTCGGCGATCGCGTCTTCTTTTGTTACTTCCAGGACGCGGGCGGGGCGGCGGTGGAATGGCATGAGCGGTTCCTGCTCGCACATATCACGGGCGCGAAGTGGGTCGTGATTTCGTGGGACTTCGACATCTTCGAGGAGGACCTTGCCGAGAGCGACGGGCTCAGGAAGTTTGGCGCTGGAGGCGCTCTGCCTGCCGCGCTGCGCGGTCTGCCAGTCTTCCGCATTGACCACTTAGCCTGCGGCAAGGATAGGCAGTGCTACCTGGACACGGGCGAGGCGCTCGCCAATGGGCTTCGACCCGCGGATGGCGAGATGGTTGGCACTCCTGGGCCGTGTGGCACAGGCGGCCCGGCAGGTGCTCCCGCGGGTCGCTGGGTCGCTGTCGAGAGCTGCGGCGAGCTGCAGGTGGGCGAGGCGCTGCTGGCGCACATGGGGGAGTGGCTCCACGTCTCCAACGACTGGTGCCTCTTCGTGTTTACGGACGGCACGGTGATGGCTGGGGGGCTTGAGGATTCCCTCCCACAGGTGGCGCCAGCGACGGTGGAGGACTTGTGCATCCTGCCCGTGAAGCGCGATGGTGTGAGTCGCTTCCGTCGCTCATTCGATGACGCCCTGCATGTCATGAAGGAGTTCCACTTCCGCGCTAGCTGGGAGATCGAGGGGCCGCGCTCGGCGTTCTTCGTGGCGGAGCGCATCCACGAAGGCAACCAGGGGCAGGTGCAGCGGCACTACTGGTGGCGCACGGTGCTGGGGCTCGCGGCTTCAGATGTCGGGGTTCACGAACACTTGCTGTTGTCTCAGCTGATGGAGGTGGCCCTCACGATCGACCAGGTCCAAGTCTGCAACCTGGCCTCCTTCGAGCTCATCAGCCGCCGTTACCAGATGTGGGAGAGTGCCTGCAAGGACCTGCTGCGGGAGGTTGGTGCGGAGTCCGCGGTCTGTGACGACTGGCTGAACGTGCGTTCCCTCTTCCTGGGGGTGAAGAACCTGCGCGGCAGCGCGATCGCGATGCCCGAGCTGGAGGACTTCGTGGTCAGGGAGCTTTCCACTCGGGCCGCTGTCCTGAAGGAGCGCCGCAAGGCGCGGGAGGAGGCCTCCATGGCCAAAGGCGTCGACCCCCTCGGCAAAGCAGACCGCCAGCGGGAAGCAGGGCGACAGAGGTGGGGGGACAGGCCTGACGGCCGACCTCCATTCAGTCTTGTGCCGCCCCGATGGGGAAGCGCCCCGCCTCCTCGAGGGCTAGCCTTGGAGCTCAGGGTTCGGCCGGTGGGGGCCGCCCAGGGGCGTTTTCAAGCATCGCACGATGCGCCAGCGGGGCGTCTTGTCCATCTCCATGGCGGCGGCTTCGGAGGTGCTGCTGGGAGGTGCGAGCGGCGTGGGGTTTTCGCAGAGTCAGCGACGGCGCGTCAGACGTCGCCGGGCACGAGAGGGCCGACTGTCCGAGGGTATCAGAGCCCTCAACGAGTTCGGCGCCTCGGGCTCGAGGTCCTTTTCCGCCTGTTTCGTTGTCTTCAGCTCAGGTCTCTGCCGTTCGTCATCCTGCTCGTCAGCATGGGTCTGTGGACGCCGTTCCGCCTGACTGTGGGGGCCCCCTGGGAGCGTGGCAGGCGCTCCAGGGCACGCGGCCCCGATGCGCGGACGCCGCGTCAGCCGTCGGTGCCCCTGCGAACTTTGAGCGAGGGAACGTGTCACTTCCCGCGGGTCTGTCGGGCCAGGTGCCGCTGAGTGAGCGCCTGCCGCCCGCCCTGCAGTCCGCGCTCGAGGGCCGCTCGGTCATTTTAGCTGCTGAGGAGGCTGCCACTCGGAAGCGAGATTCGGGAGGCAACCTCTTCCTGGGCCACGTGCTTCGGGGCCAGCCTAGACTTTCTGGAGAGGTCGCTGCTGAACTCTGGGACGCTGGCGCGCTGGGAGCCAGCGAGGATGTGCTCGAAGAGAGCGGCAGGTTTTTCGTGCGATAGAAGTCTGGCGCGCTCGGTTTCACTCGAGATACTCGAGTCCCCTGCGCGCGGTTCAAGGGGCCCCTTGGGGTGGCGTTGCCTTCTGGGGAGGCTCTCGCCCACTTGGAGTGCGCGCCCCACGTCGTCCCTGTCCTGCATGGAGGAGACTTTGAAGTGGGCTACTACCAGTTTGAGCTTCCAGGTCAGTATAGATGTTTTTTTCGCCCTGCCCCACGCCCCCACGGCCCACCACCCCGCTCCCCTCGTTGCCGCTTTGCTCGAGGTGGCTCGGAATCGCAGGTGGGCCCGCTGCCAGGCTCGGGCGGCGCCTATGGGGTGGAGCTGGGTTGTGGCGTTGGCACGGGCTGCGACCGCGCACAGTTGAGAGACGTTAACCCCGAGGCCCGGTGAATCTTAGACAAGGCTCCTTCCCCGCCCCTTGGCGACGTTGAGTCGCTGCGTGGACTTTGCATCGATAACTTCGCGTGTCCGAGCGCGAACCCTGCTGTCGCCAAGGGGGCCGCCGTCGGGGTGAAAGAGCAGTTGGGGCAGATGGGGGCTGTCTCTACCCGGGAAACGGAGAGCCCTGGGGGCCGCGACTTCATCGGCCCCACGTTGGTGGGTTCGAAGGGGGGTGGCGTCCTAAGACCAGTCGTTTCTGGCAGGTGAAGCTCGCTTGCGATTGCCTACTGGGGAGTGGACGCGGCGTCTCGCGTCGGTCACGTCGCGGCCCTCTTCTCTTTGGCTCCTGAGCTCCTGCGTTTGATGGAGAAGGTGCATGTGTTCATGCAAGACAGCTACGTCCGCCGCCTGCCCCCGCGGTCCTCGGTTGCTCGAGAAGTCCGTTGGATCCGTGCTCTGCCCCCTCTCGCCCGCGCCTGTGTGCGTCGTCCCTGGAGAGATCGCGTCTTCGGGTATGACGCGTCGGCATGGGGCTTCGGGTCTGGGCGTTTGCGCTGCCCCCTCGAGGAAGTTGTCGCCGTCGGCCGCGCGCGGGAACGCGCGCGCTTGCGCGGGCCCCTGAGCGTCTGGGGCCCCTCTCTCGCGTGCTCTGGACTGCGAGGAGGAGGTCTGCATCTCGGAGGCTTCTGAAGAGGTCTTCTTGGATCTCGGCCGCGCGATGGGGTTTTGCAGAGGCCCCCGCCGCCCTCGCAGAGGGGGGCCGGGAAGTCGCCCGCGCTGGGCGGCGGAGGGGCGCGCGAGGGTCTCAGGTCCAACTGGGTGCCCGAGCGCGGGCCTGGACTGTCCGACACCTTGCGCGCGATTGTAGCCTCCACGACTCGCGGGTGCTCGCGTTTTGCGACAACGTGCCTGTTATCTGTGCGCATGCCAAGGGCCGCTCGTCGAACCCTGCGATGAACTTCCAGTGTCGTGCGTCGGCAGCGCGCGCCCTAGCCGTCGGGCTCATGCTGGTGGATCGCTGGGCACCTTCGGAGCGGAACGCCCTGGGGCGCCAGTCGAGTGTTCCTGCCGCGACATTGTCATGGTGGGCGGTGGCCGCAGGGGGGGTTCGTCAAGTACCGCCTCCCTTCCTGCAGCGCAGCTGTTGCTTGCGGCCCTGTCCGACTCCGACGTCGAGGGCGATGCGGGCCTGGGCTGCTTCGACGCTCCGCGCAGGCAGGGCGGCGCCCGCTCCCGAGCACGCGGCGCGATCGCTGGGCCGAGCGGCCGCGGGGCCTCTCGGCGCACCCAAACTGGCGGCGCGCCGCGGTGCTCCCGCGGAGCGCCCTCTGGCCAGGCCGCCCCCCAGGCCTCCGGCCACCTGGCGCGGTCGCGGCTGGCTCCACCGCGCCGTAGAGCGCAGAGCGCCGGCTCGACCGAGTAGACCCCCAGCAGGTCCACCGCTGCCGCGAAGCTGCGGCGCAACTGCCTGGAACTGACGTCGAACAGCCGCTGTCGTCGGTCGCGCGTACCTCTAAGCACGCGGAGCACTGGGATCAGCGCTCGGTGGTGCTCGAGGTCTAGCAACGCGGAGAGGTCGAACTCCTGCGTCTTGGGCGGGCGGCCCAGCTCCTCCACGTGGACGCGGAAGGCCCAGCAGGCCCCGGGCCCCTCCTGGCCTGTGGGCGGGGCGAGCTGCGACGCCGCGAGGCTCAACAGCTCCGAGGGCCGCATGTGCGTCTCGTACACCACGACGACGGCCAGCGCCCCCATAGGGCAGGCGGGCAGCATGGCCCGCGCGATCGCCGAGACCACGCCCCAAGGCAGCGGCAGGCGGCTGCGCGCGGGCCGCAACTGCTCCCGCCCCAGCACGGCGGCGTGCGCGCCTTGGAAGGTCACCCTCAGCGGCCCGCCCAGGCACGGCTGCGGCCGCGCCGGCGCCGCCAACCGCCGAGTAGCCAGAGCGCGCTTCCACCCCGCGGCCCGCGCCCATTCGACGAAGGACAGCGGCAGTTGGCCTCGTTGCGGGGCCGACCAGCGCAGCAGCGGGCGCTTCTCGAGGCAGCGGGCCAGGCGCCCCAGCACGTCGCAGTAGCCCCGCTGCGCGCTGGGC